GGTTATATTGCAAATTACAGTTTATACAAAATAAAAAACAAATCACTAAATATACCGTTTCCAACATAGTTCAGGGGGAATCATACAAAGCTGTCATTCTCTGAAATCATATACTCAGTTGTCACCCTTTGAATTATCCGAAAGTGACAGAAATAATTTCAGCGTGCTTTTCTTAGAGTGTGGTTTTCAGCATGACTTTCTTCTGTTATTGTTTACGGAGTGTTTTTCTTCAGAGTGTTTGTATTGCACGAGGGTTCACGAATCATGATAACAAATGTATGTGAACAATAATGATAAGTACTGAAAGAACATCACACTTAATGAATTTAAATATTACGAATATACATTTTAATACAAGTAACAAAATATTAGATAGAAGTAATAATTTACAAAATATAAAATAAACATTTAAATTAAACATAAAGATATTATGAAAATACATGAAAATTAGGGTAAAAACGCTTAGTGAGAGGTTGTCAACAAATTATTGATAAAAAACAACTTTTTAAGAATTGTTTAAGAATCATTAAAAAACATTGTACAAAGTTACAGAAAAAAATGACAATAATAAATATATGAAATGCTTACCTTGAAAAATGAAGAAAGAATAGTAAAATAAGTTTCCAGTGTTTAATGATTAACAGACTGACTGACTGTCTCAAACAATTACACACACACACGCGCGCGCACCAACGCACACACACGCACATATTCACCAACTCACTGACTTACTGACTTTCTTACTCACTCACTCACTCACTAACATACTAACGTACGTCAATACGGAGAGTATCGGATTTTTAATCAAGGGGTCACTGGTTCGATACTCAGGCGAAACAAAATTTCATTGATAAAGCATTGATCAGGCATTCTTGTGTGATCAATTGTCTCTCACCGATGATTCAGAAATCCTATGGGACTTGTAGTCTCTTGCGGTGACATTATAAATCACTGGTTACATGTATTTATCCAAGAAAGACGGTTTAATGGACAGACCGTCGAAAAATGGCTATTAAAACAATATAAACCTTCCAAACCAAGTAAACAAACAAGTACAAATAAACTGCAAAATAATCCTATTTTTATGTTCATAAATTATTGTTACTATTTGCATTTATTACAAACTACAAACAATGTGTTTATATTCACAAATCATTCATTTCCTAACTTGCAATTTATAACACTGCCTTTCAAACCTAACAAAAAATAGAACAATTTCTTTAATTAGTATTCATATCAGCGATTTGGCAATGATGGATATTGGTATACGTAAATAAAGGCCTTTCATTTATTTTTTGTTTTTCATTTCAAAGAAACGCGTCATTTATGTGGAAATGGATAAACATTACACTGTAATGACTTATAAAATCAAATGATAAATTAAACAGTCACACAGGTGACATCCCATCATTCTTTTGTGTAGCGTGAACTTTATTTTTACCTTTCAAACCAAACAAAAGTAGAACAATTTCAAAAATTAGTATTCATATAAGCGTTTGTAAAATCATTATGATGGATCTTTGGCCGTGTAAATGTAGGCCTTTCAGTGGTTTATTTTATATTTCAAAGTAAACAACACGTCATGCATGTGAAAATGGATGAAAAATAGACTGATATGACTAACAAAATCAAAGTCAAGTAGGTGACATCCCTTAACTAAATCAACATTAATTATATAACAGATTAGTATTCTGTTCCTTGAATGTTATTTCGACTGAAGTTGTCAATTACACCCTCGAACCAACCACGAGCAGAATTATAATTATACCATGTTTTAAGTGATTTCTACGATGTCGTATTTCGTCCACAAAATTTTGCTAGTGAACACGCGATAATTATTGCCTCTATAGGGCGAAATTTTGTACTAAATTTCGCATGACTTAAATTTCGCTAGTTTTTCAAGCAATAAATTTCGCCATTTCTTTAGACCAGGGGGAAACTTATACTAGCAAAATATATTTCCATTTGAAAATTATTGTCTAATTTTTCGTATGTTGTGTGTTCCTCGCGTGATAATTATCGCGTTGAAGGGCGCTTATTATCGCATGAGAGAGATTTAGTTTAAATTTCGGCCTTTAAAATATACAATTATCGCGTGTTTGAATTTTGCTAGTTTCTTATGCGATAATTTGCGCCCTTCAAGCGTATATTTAGCGCATAAAGAACACACAAAATACGAAAATTAAGACGATCCTTTTCCAATTTCGCTAGAAAAGGAGCTCGAGAGACTAGCGGAATTTAAGAAACGCGAAATTTAGTACTACAGTTCGCCCTTTTGAGGCGATAATTATAACGTGTTACTAACGAAATATTGTGGACGAAGTAAGACATCATAGATTTCAGTCACTGTCACAGTGGTTTCCGTATGATTCACGCACGTTAATGATGTGCATACTTTTTTAGATTTGAGATGCAGTGTAATTTGATGATTTCAAATAAATAATTCCAATAGATAACGTTTACATCACTAGTCTTAATAGTTTGAAAACTATAACCTATACATCCTTGATTTATGATTAACTATTGGATATGAATTTTATGATTTAGACTTTGTGGCTTCTATGGAGCTCCTTTCATTATATTTTACATTCAGTCATTATTAAGGTTGATTTTTGCCTGTGGCAGAAATATTTGTTTCAAGCTAAATAACTTACACACATAATAAAATTATGAAGTAAGATGCAAATGAATGTGCTGGTTCTTTACAGGCCTACCAACAAATTAGAGAGTAAGCAATTGTTAAACTTAGCGTTTGAACAGTCAACATATATTCTGTTATTTGGTTAACGGTGTATTGTTTTGTATTAACAGAAGTAGTTTTGGCCTATCTGATACATGAAATGGAAAATCAGGTTTACGTGGCTAATTATATTCTACCAGGTGACTACCATAACAAAAAATTAAAGAGCAACACATACTTAAGATTATCTTTAGAATAAAGGGTTTCTTTAGGGATTCTGTTTTTCTTTATTCCCATTTATGTTCCTTTTTTTATTCAAATGATGTTTGTTAAGGATAATATTTACCTATATATTTTGTATATTCAACATATATATCAATTGTTTTTATAGTATGGAAAATGTATCATCAAAAGTAAATAATGAAATTAGGTATTAAAATTTGTATTATTTGATATTTCTTTAAAGACTATCTTGCAATATTTTTGTATATCAAACAATTTTATATTTTTTATTGATTGCTGATTTTGATTGATTGATTGATTGATTCTTTGATTAGTACGCTCGTTCGTTCGTTTGTTTGTTTGTTTGTTTGTTGGTGATTGATTGAAATATCTTCTTATACTCAGTCGTGGTATAATGTTTTGAAATTGTGTCAATTTAAAACGCGCTGAATCTTGTAATTTATTCATCTTCAGTGGATTAGGCTTTTAAGTCGACGACTTCGATATTTCTTTTCAAAAATTACGATTATTATATTTCTTCTTACAATGTTGATTATCTTTATATTTTATTTATGTTTGTTTATTTTTAAGAAAGTTTCCTTTAAGACAAGATAAGATAAGATAAACTTTTTTCACACCAAAGCAGCATGCCCATCAGTATATAGTAATTACACAATCGGAATTTACATGACATCAATGACGTGGTATTAGCATGGTATGAAATGGTTCTAAAAACATTATTTGTTGATGTTCGTAAATTTTGTTATGCATGTTGTAATTCATGGCTACTCAGAGCAGACGTTACCTAAACCCTGGGTTGATGAAAGCGGCTTTATGACCGAACAGAGCATGGGTCCTCTTATGCCGCTGCTGGTTTGTGGTATTTTTATACAATATGTAATTCTTCTAGAAGGGTTGCGCAGCCCGCTCGCGGTTAACTTGGTTTGTCTGCATATTGTAATTGTCTGGCACAAGTTTTCCATGATTGCAACTATGGAAATTTTGTCAGTGTTGTGATTTACTTTGTAAATATCCGAACGACTTTTAAATAATGCAGCACTTGCAAGTATCTATTAATATATAAAAAATTATGTATACATGTTTATTTGTCACCACGCATATAATTTGCTTATGTCAGCCTTCTACATGCAGTTTCCCTCAATAATCAATTCTCGAAATGCACAACTGTGTTGGTGTAGAGATGTGACCTAGACGTATAAACTAGGATGGTGCAATAACGGGGACACATACATTATCTTAAATTGCAAATGATGGATTTGATTAAAAGATGCTGTTGAATAATAAAGAAGCAATTACAATTTCATTAAATGCTGACCTTCTATATAAAATCACTGCGTAGTTTTAGCTAGCATTACAAGAGGAGACGTTGCTGAAACGCCAGCAAATTTTCTGTATTCTTCCACGTACGTAAAATGCATTTCGATCTTCTTATTTTGAAAATTTATAATCTTTATGAATTTATTGACAATATATTTGTTATTTTTATTTAGGTTGGTTCTTTAATATTTGGCTCATTTTGGCTGTATGAAAATTAATACGATTTTATAACTTATAACAGACAAATTGGAAAAAAAACTTGAAATTGAATATAAATTGATTGCAAACTATCGAGATACATACATGTACCCGTTAAATTAGAAATTATTTTATGTGTGTGTTTAAAGATACATATTTAAAAAAATACGCTTACAAAAATGTTTTACATTGTCAAGTTTTGATCACTTAAGCTATGGTTTGGTTTGGTTTGGTTTGGTTAAAACTCGATTGCGAAACAAATTCTTGCAACTTGTACTAACCACTTTCGAGTCAGCTTCATTGAAAAAGCTAGATTTCAGCTGTCTTATTGCTCGATGTGCTTATTAGATTGTTTGGATATATTCAGTTAACATTATGCGAAAATTGCTACAGTGATTTTATCTATTTATGTATTAATTAATTAAATAATTAATTAATTTATTATTCTATTTATTTATTTATTTATTACTACTAGTGCTATTATTATTATTATCATCATTATTAAATTTTATTATTATCATTATTATTATCATTATTATTTCAAAATGAAACAGAATTTAACAGGATAATGACGGGAATAACAATAGCTGTACTGGTTTTGACAGCCATAGCTTTAACGACGGGCGAAGTACAGACATTCAGACAAAATGTACCTACCTTTATGACAGGAATTGCTCGAAGATCTGTCAAAGAAAGACTTAGCGTTCAGCCTCCGCCGATGCCTGGATTAAATTTAAATGCAGTTGGTTATTTTCTTTATTTTTTATTTATTTATTTATTTATTTATTCATTTTTTTTCCTTTTCTATTGTTTATTCATTTATTCATTTTCTTTATTTATTCTTAGGCAAAACTACGTGAAGGGTTTGTGGCAATAAACTTTTAATAAGTATGGTCGTATTACCTTACTATTGAATCGGGTTGTTTTTACAATTATCTTCAGTACAATTATATTTATTGAACTTAATATATCAAACACTGACAAAACAATTGCATCCAAGAAATTGGCCGACTTTTATTTTCAAGTATCAAAAATATAATATACATGTACATTTGTATTATGTGCATTTTATGATGATTAAATAATATATTGACAGTTCTTTCGCGATTGAAAGATAAAATATGCTGTTATTAACTTTTCAGTGGCTTGGTCCATGGTTTCATCAATTTCATAAGGCACCATGTAGTTGGGCTATTTCAGAGGACTTTTCGGATTACACCCAATTGTTTGTACCTGATGGCAATGTATTTTTGGCTCATGAATCTATGAGGTAAGTTGATAAATTTCAATTAATTATTATACCAGTATACTGTGAAAGTTAGATATATTTAAATGGCAATAGAGTTTATGACGTAAAAATGTGTCATTTTTGAAATGCCGTTGTTAATTAAGTCGCGTAAATAAGTATTGAAAATAGTCATTTAATATGATATCATTATTAACATGATGAACAAAAGACAAAATGCCTTGATAAACACAATTGTTAATGATCGACCCATTAAATAAGCAAAATTATCAAATAGTTGGGCAGATGAACTTGTGTTTCCTTGAACGTGTTTCTGTTATCATATACTAAGAACAAGAAATGAATAAATAAAGTATATTCAGTTTAGTTCGATAACACGTGTAGAAAGCTATATGCATATCGTAACAAATCTGCCTTAAGCAATATAAAGGTTTTTGCTCTAGAAAACAATGACTTGCCCCTGGCGGGGTTTAAAGCTACCGCTAGAGATACTTAGATTACTAGTTAACAAGTCCGACGTGTTAACTACTCGGCCATTCGGCCACTTCTATACGTATTTTTGGGTAATTGTAGTATAAATTATTATTACAGTGTTATGCAAAGCAAAATATTTAGCATGAGTACAATATATATATTTTGTTCAGTAGTACCTGAATCAAGGTATGACATACATAGAGCACACTTTCTATTATGACTAATCTTTGTATATGTTTATTGAAAGAAAAAACAACACTTTTTAATGACTAATGAGGCATTAAAATATGTTAACTTTTTTACAGAAATCGTAATGTGTGTAACAAGATGACATCGATTCTTACTCTGACAGGCCCTGGAAAGTTTTCCGTTAACGATATCATGGGTAAAACGATTCTTACTTCTTCATTCTTACTAAATATGCATTCTTAGTATCAAAATTAACTCAATGTTAGATAATACATTAAAGTGTTCCTACTTAATTTTTAGTTATTCCCATGCCCCCGAATGTACACATCTGAAATTCGCACTGTTCGACAACCGTTTCACATTCTTGTTGTGGATGTGGCTTTGTCATTCATTTAGAAATATGACCCTATACCATTGCAATGCAGCACACCAAAATAACGTGGAGCATGCATAGTCAGATATTCCCCCTGTATCACTTTTAATGTTTTGCCGCCTGAAGGTTAGAGGTAAAAGTTGGTCAGGGCAATACTGAAAAATAATACCTTGTTCCAGATTTTGATATCATTTATACACTTTAGTATTGAAGCAGAAAAAGTATATCTATTTAATCTATAAAATAACAAATTATCACAAATGCAAAGATCCATATTCATGCATATCTTTAAAATATCAGACATTTTAAAAGGTGCATCGAAAGAGCATCGAAACACGAGGCTATCTGATTTGTACGAGGGGCCGAGTGTTTTGATGACTTTCTTTTTTATTGATAGCAAAAAAAACACATTCCCTGTTGTCACAAAATGAAACCCCAGAAACAAAATTATGGAGCACCTGAATACGATATATCTATCGCTATCACTTTCTCTGTCGTTACAATAAGTAAACCCCAGACAAAATAAGCCAATCAATTGACATGCTCTAGAGTGCGATTAACTAATACCTGCACTGCAGTTAACGCACTGTGCATGTATATGTATACGATTTATCTCTGACAAATTTTAAACAGAAAGGTCACCAATCAATGATGCAGTTAAAAAATGAATTGCACTCTATTCTTAATGTAATCCAATGAAATAATATGTGTCGTAAGAACACAATTCTTGCTGACCGAGCGGTAAGCATTGTAAAATACCTTCTCCGTATGTTGCAGTTTCCTAAACACAAAATATATATTTTTGTGCATAATTGTGTTATTTACGACAACGGATTTGCAACAACGTAACGTATGTTTATCGTATATATGATGATTATTGTACGTTGCGATATCTAGTGCAGTGACCAAAATTGCCAATGCATCAAATCCATAGAAATGATAATGTACTCGTATATGTTTATATAGAATTGTGTGATTATTTATATATTATATAAAACTTTAGAGAACAAGTTCACAATTCATTTGTGAAAGAAATTTAATTTAAAGCACTATATTTTAGGGGACAACTTTTCTGGAAAAATGGTTATAGTAGCAACGGACTATCAAGGGTTTACTATTGACTGGGGTTGCGCAAAATGGTCGACACTTGACCAAAGATGTGCTGATCCGTCGCTGTATATAAAAACACGACAAAGGCAGTTGTCTCAGGATATTGTTGGAAGGATAGAATCTGCGCTTCAAAACATATTTGGAATATCACTCAACGAGCTAATAAGAATAAGTCATGCGAGACGTAAGTCTAGTTTACATTAAAGAGTGTTTTTTTTCTTTGTTCGTTTGCTTATTTGTTGTTGTTTCTAATAGTTACATGACTATACATTTAAAAAAAGTACTTATAGTCTTTGTGAACATGATACTTTAAAGGCACATTATGTCTCAGTAATTAATATGTTTCCCTATATCTAGAAAGGGCAAACACGAGTTTGAAATGTTTAAATAATGGTTTTATAGCATATTAGATACTTAAAACCAAACGGAAAGAAGCGCTGAGCGTTGCAATAAATGTAGCAAAATGAAGACAAAGTAGCATTTTGACTTCCATACAAAATACCAAATTACTATTATAACTATACTAATTAACAAAAGTAATAGACGCAAAGATACCTGGCCAATGAGTAACATTTTGGAAACAATAGCAGGACACCAAAAATGAAAGGATTTTGAGGAATGAAATTATAAGCCTTTCTGGGGCATATCGGGCCTTTAAATGTTAATTATTCATCGACTACAAGATAAAAAACAAGATTCTATTACTGATAAAGTATTTTGGTTTATAATAATTGAGATATTGCTTTGCCTTTATCACGGTGACAAATACCGTTTGTCAACATTTCGGTTATCCTAGTAATTCAATTCTATAACACAATTAAAATCCTCTACATACTTGTCTGCCGCATCTACATAATTATGTCTTATCCTGGACCATGCACTCTTAATGGGCTTTACTTGTAAAAATAAAAACTTGTCATTTTAATGGAATTCAGAGTTCTACATGCATTGCAATTGCAACATTTATCTAAATGTGTCTTCCAGTTCTTTTGTTCATTATTATGATTAATCGATTTTCTTTTAAATTTGCACAGCTTGTCCAAACGATAGGAAGCAGGGATAGAAAGAACAAATTTCACAATGTTCACGGACGTGCGACAAAAAAGATAAACCAAGAACATGTAACCAAAGAATGACAACGAATGATTGCTTACAACAACATTTTATTTCTTTATAGTACAGCTCAGAATTTGTATAATTATCAAGTGATTAAATATATCATGTTTGCGAACATTAAACATATTAATTTATATTTTGTATTTTCTGCATAGACATAAGCATATAGTATACTAAAAAAATCATTACTATAAAGCAAGTTATACGGCGAAGAGCAAAAATTGAAATTATTATAATAACCACCTTTGGACAGACTCTATCATAACAATTCGAGCTAATCATGGGCTGCTATGGCAATCTCCATTAGCGAGCAGAACACTTAAAAAACACATTTAGTAATGAGTGGGCTCTAATCATATTTCAAACTAAAATTGCAATCGATGTATTGGTTATCATATTTTATGATATAATTAATAAATCATTATTTGTAGTGCCATAAATTACTATAAATATCAAAACCACAGTATGTCATTTGTTTTCCTATATGTTTGATACGATCCCGGATTCTGTGCGTTCACATGTGGTGTTATTGTCATCTAGATACTAGAAATAACCCGAAGAAGGAATACCGTAATATAATAAAGGAAGGTGTTTCCCGTTGGCGGAAAAGCAAACTGTATGTTTTCAGAGCACAAATTTTAACGTATGACAATTCTAAAGTGTTATTGAATTCTATCAACTATATTATGTTTTTGAAGCGATATTTTTAAACTTTAGTAACTTAAAGACGGTAGTTTTTCTATTTTCTTCTGGCGACATACTGCTTTAACCTACTTGAAATGAAAGTGGCAGTAACTAGCTTTGCAGACGAACCAAGGTCAATAATGTTAGTAGCTAATTGATTGTATTTTGATGTTTCAATCTCTTTAAATGATAAATACTTTTCTAAATTGAAAACAGGGAAATCCTTTGCACAAATTCGGTAGGTAGATGATGAAGAAGGTGCACATTCTGCAAAAGCAAAACATCTTATAGTTTTTTATCATCTTATTCAGTTGCATCTGGTTTCTTATGTGTAAGAACAATTTTGATACCATTCGTATCTATCATATCTTTGTAAAAATATTTTAATCCCTCTGTTTGGTCTAACCTTAGTTCCTCCTCGCCATGATGAACCACTTCCTATTCTGTCTAATAATACACTGTCTCGTTCGTGATATATTATATCTAATAGTGTATGAATAGTAAAAAGGTCTCGTATTTACAATCGAAAAATAGAAAATTATACACAGTTATTTTCTTCTTCATAAATGATGGTATCGAGACTGTCAATAACACAAACAAATATGATTTCCAGTTTATATCTGGGTATATTTCTGTATCATCAGTTCCAGATCTTTCCGTTTTAAGCGCCCCGCCTGATCTTTATAAAAAAATAAATTTTTATGTTTTTAGGTTTTTGGATCTCAGTGGAGTTCCTTAAACTTACAACGGCTACTTTAAATACTATTTGTGGAAACCGCGTCATGTTCAATAGTTTTAAAATCAATAGTAAATGAATAAAATGGGGGATATGTGTGTTGAGTTTGTTCCGGACAAAAGAAAAGGACGCAGTGTAAACTATCACTGATAAAGAAAAAGTGATGTATTTCTATATATTAATTATGAAAATTGAAATAAAACTTGTTTCGATGGAAATATTAGTTATGCCTGCTTTTGCATTGGCTATTATCAAACAAACCGTATACAATTTAATATTTCTCAAACACAACCATCAATTCATTCAATAGCGGTTAATAAGATAACTGATATACTTATCATTATATTTCACATCTTACGTAATGGATTATGTTTTTTAAATTTCCCATGATTTTGATAGGTTATAAACAATTATACATTACGAAACGTTTTTAAGGTATGCAATGTTATCGGTATTCAGAAGTATTGAATAATTTTCAGATTATAAATATGGAGGCTATTCGTTGCCAAAAATCCAGTCTTGTTGATCTGAGTTGAACAGTTTGTTAACGGACAAGATACAATTGTATTTCTTTGTATGTAAACTTCAATGTTGCCTTCTTGGATTGAGTTTGCCGATTTAAAATTGTAAAACTGTATTTCAACAAAATACAATTTGTTTAACAACATCACATTTACTGTTTTTCTGATAGCAACAATACCAAGTGTTCATCATAACATGCGGAATACTCATTGTTCGTGTATATGCCGACAAAACAGAAGTTACTTTCTTAGCTTTACATTTTCAAACCATCATGATTCGGATCAGCATAATCCAGCTTTACACGTTTTTCAATAGGAGATAAAATAAGCTCCGCCCATTTTCCCGCCCACTACATCATCGTAAATAAACGTATTTATCCGCTCGTTTTCGGTATTTACCGTCAGCGAGATGAAGGAAACAAGAACACGTACCGGCGTTGTTTCCGTTTACTACACCTTATAGGTGTTTAGTTATTCACCAAACATAATTCACTTGCAGGTTTGCCATTCCATGCCTTTTTTCAATCAACATCAGCGGACTTTAAATGATTATAGGCATATAAGTTTTGAAACGATGTAGCAATCATAGAAAGAAAGAAAAACACTCAACAGGTTACTTACTGTCTGAGGTTAAATACTTTTCAAGGAAGTTATAACTATTGATAAGACAAATACATTTTACTGTGGGGATTCCAGGGATTGACAGTTAAGCTGCTACCTTACCACTTTCAAATTTTCAAGTCAACATCTGATAGAGATTTCGATTCGACTAAATACATATACAGACCAAATTCTGGCTGTTGTCTTTCCTAGTAGTAGCATTTACTATTACATTAGTAACCTTAATTCAAGAGTATAACTTGACAGGAAAAAAACTTTTAACAATAGTAAAATTAAAACCAAAGTTGTATGTACCCTTTCGTACATAACTTTTTATTTTACCATACTGAATAGATATATTTTCCCATTTTTACCAATTTTTTTCAATAATAATATTTAAATGAGTCCAAAGGTATGTATGTTGATTATCAATTTTTGAATAACTTGTTTATTTTATCTCTAAGAAAGCCATCACTTACAAAACTTAATAAATATTTTGTGGAGTATTTCATGTACATAATCAAAGTGCTGCAGCACTGAATGCGACGGACATGCAACCGGAGAGACAATAAGGCTTTTTTAGAAGAAGAAAAAAACACAAAAGATATAACAGAGGGAATTTGTTCCATACAAGTTCGAGATTTGTAGAGAAATATATTTTATGTGTCCCAATCTGATATAATTCAGATTTTCGACTTTCAAGCAGAACAAGTCCACATTTTTAAATAAAGCATGAAATGTTTGCCTAAACACTCGATTTTTTCCAAGAAATGATATGTAAATAGAAAACTGTCAACGAAATATTTCTAAAATAAAACCATGCGAATAAACTTCAAGCATAATACATAATACATGTGAGAATGTTAATTAGAATAGCTTCGTGTTATATCATAGTGGGCATATAGACAATAAAATATAAGTCATTTGTATTTTTATTTTCATTTCTCTTGGATATGTCTCATTAAAATATTTTTGGTTAAAATCATCAGCAATCAATAGTGTATTTTTTTAGATTTTTTTTCATTTACAATGTAAAGATGTAGAGGCCAGAGCACATCGTTTTTATTTTAATCTAAAAGTGACATTATGCCCATCCAGGGGTATATAGTGAGTGAACGGGTGAAGATCAAAATATGTTTTCATTTCTGTAAATATCCGTTAGAATTTACGTATAACGCTTTGTTTATAAAAAGAGTGGGGAAGTCTTTTTTAAATTTTAGGCAGACTTATAATTTTATCCTAAACATTTTCCAATATCTATTGTTGGTCAAACACCATTTTGACAGTCAATCTTTAGAAATATAAAGTCAATTCAGCTCAACTTGACTATGAAAATATGAGCATAATGTCACCTTAAGCACTACAGTGTTTAATTGTCCCTTTCAATTTCACACTAAATTCCATTTTTAACTTGTTTGCTTCTTACAATTGTATAGAATTTCTTAAAGTATTGCATATAAACAAAGTAAGTATCCGCTGGTTTATTACATGTATAATGTGTATTCCCTAATCGCTTGTCCGAAAGTCAGCACATGTGATGCAGAATC